GGGAGGGCATAGCAGTGCTAACTGGGGGGCACAGGGGGAACTGGGGGGCACAGCATGGATAACTGGGGGACACAGAGGGAACTGGGAGGGCATAGCAGTGCTAACTGGGGGACACAGAGGGAACTGGGAGGGCATAGTAGTGCTGACTGGGGGAACTGGGGGGCACAGCATGGATAACTGGGGGACACAGAGGGAACTGGGAGGGCATAGTAGTGCTGACTGGGGGAACTGGGGGGCACAGCATGGATAACTGGGGGACACAGAGGGAACTGGGAGGGCATAGCAGTGCTAACTGGGGGGCTACAGGGGGAACTGGGGGGGTACAGCATTGCTAACTGGGGAGCACAGCATGGGTAACTGGGGGACACGGTGTGATGGGAGGGCGGTTACATCAAGGGTAACTGGGAGGCTGTGTGTGGGGGCTACATCCCCACTGACCCCCATGGCAGGGGGGGCCAAGGGGGGTTGTCTGCCCGCAGGATGCTGGCGCGAGGCCGGCGGCTCCTGCGCTGTTGGAAGCCGCTCTTCACCGGCCGCCTGCTGCTGCTGACCAACACGGCGAGCTGCGGCACGCTGCTGGCCGCCGGCGACACACTGCAGCAGGCCTGGCACCGCCGGCGGCACCCGGACACCGAGCCCCAGGTGGCCCGCACAGGTGACAAGCCGGAGGGGGGGTACACATGAACCGGGGAGGGGGTGCAGGGCAGCCTGACGCCTTTCATTAGTGCTCGTTATTGTAGCGGGGGGAATTAGGGTCCAGCTCCCCGGTACCACGTAAAACCACGCTCCCTTTGTGCCTTCCCCAGAGCCGGATTTGCTTTCGGGGGCGGTGGGGGGGGAGTTGCAGAGAGGGAGGGGGTCACATAAATAATTCATTGGTCACCAGGGCGGTGTTGTGTTGCAGGACGCATGTTCGCCGTCGGCTGCAGCATGGGCCCGCTGATGCACTACTGGTACCTCTGGCTGGACACTGCCTTCCCGGCGCGGGGTGTGCGGGGGCTAAAAACCGTCCTGAAGAAAGTCCTTATCGACCAGCTGGTGGCTTCGCCCGCCCTGGGCGCCTGGTACTTCCTCGGTACGTGGTGGCACCCGCCTTATGTCAATGTTGCTGAATATTGTGCGTGGCCCACGCTGCCGGTGACGTGTTATGGTGCGTGGGTGCTGGCATGACGCCTGTCACCCTCCCTTGGTGGGGAGGACGTGGGTTTCCTGAAGCTCCCTCCTTCTGGCTGGTGCCAGCACTGCCCTTCCCTCCCACGGTGGGGGTTTTTTGGGTATTTTTTGGTGTCCAGCACAGCTGAGACAGTAATTCCCATCCTCACTCCCCAGTGTGGAGCCTTGTGAGCACTCCCATCCCCACTGATGTCTGTCTGTTCCCGCAGGCATGGGCACACTGGAGGGCCAGTCTCTAGAGGAGAGCTGGGAGGAGCTGAAGGAGAAATTTTGGGAGTTTTACAAGGTAAATACACCTCCCGGAGCTTTTCCTCCCACCCGTGGTGTGGACCGTGGTCTGGTGGGGAGCACCTGGCTGCTCTTTGCTTTCTGCAGGCTGACTGGTGCGTCTGGCCGGCGGCTCAGCTCGTGAATTTCCTCTTCGTCCCGCCCAAGTACCGGGTGGTTTACGTCAATGTGATCACGCTGGGCTGGGACACCTACCTCTCTTACCTCAAACACAGGGTAAGCAGTGGCACCACAGTGCCACGTGGCTGTGCCTCGCCGCTGTGACCAGCCAGGCTCACGCCAAACATGTGCCATCTCCTATTTTCTAGCCTGGCAGCCCCCCGAGTGCAGAGAAGGACTCACCAAGTGAGAACCAGCGCGGTGTCGGGCTGTAAAGAGGCAGCTGCTCTCGACGACTGCGACTTTTTCAGAGGTTCCTGCCTGTGGCAAGTGATTTTCTGGGCATCGCAGTGGGCACAGCTCAATCCATCCAGTGAACGCGATGGCTGGAGACCACCACAACCGCTGTCTGCAGCTCGCTGCAGCCTGGGTGGATCTTGCCGATTAACTCATCTACTGATTGCAATGATGGGTTTGGGTATTTTTAACCAATTTTGTGTCACAGGCTAGCCTGTAAAGCCATTTCTTTTTTGTATTCTTCCACAGAACCCGCGCTGCCCGGGGTGGGGAGGAGCTGCCGCAGCTACGTTTTGCCTTCAGCCCCCAGGGAAGGGCCCCAGCGCTCTCCCCTTTGCTGCAGCCAGGTTTTTTTTCCCTTCTCCAAGGCAAGGCTGGCCCCTTGCTCCCCTCTAGCACCCTCCTCTGCTCTTCTGCAGAGCCAGCCACTCGGGTCCCTGCCTTGCTCTGGCTTCGGCTGCTTGGCAGAGAGATGCTGCCCCTCTGCTCTCAGTGCCGCTCCTCAGCCCTTTCCCTGCTGCTTTTTGTCTTCGAGCTGAAGGGAGAAGTCACTCAGCTCCTTTTCATTCCACCTTGCAGCCCCCCTTCCCGGTGCCGTGTGTGGGCTTGGCTGGGCTGGGCTGCAGCCACCCAATCTTTATAAAAATAGCGGTGTGATCGCCGCCACCTGCTCGCCGCCAGGTTTGACAGCGGCAGAGTCGACATGGAGGTGGTTGGGGGTTTTTAAGGCAAAGTTTTTGCAGGGTTTGGACCACAGCCCCCCACTTCTCCCAGCCCCACAGCTCCCTGGGCAAGATGGACACTCGCTCCATAACCTGGGCACTTCTTATTTATTATTTCCAGCATCGATCAAAACTGCCTAAATGTGACTTCTTTTTTTTCCCTAACACTTAAAGCTGTGCCTTACTTAAAGCTCTGTCTTACTTACAGCTCTGTCCTCATCCCTCCTGCCACCCACCCCCCCGGGGGACACCGTCCCTCCCACCGCAGCAAGCCAAGCTGCTGAGCCATGGCAGGAGCCATTTGGTGAATGCTAATTAAGAAACCAGATCGTTCTCGCTCCTCTCCGGCAACGAGCTCAGCAGCGCTGGGCCGAGGAGAGCCCAGGTTATCGACACCAAGCAGAGGGACCATCCTGCTGCCCCCTCTCCGCCTGCAATGACCCCAAGGAACCGGTGCTCAGCATTGATTTATTTCTTCACAACATTTCTTTAATACAGTGATTTTTAGGAAATTGTACTCTTTTGACACTTTTGACATTTGTACAGTACAGTGTAACTCTTCCATAAGTAAACTTCACAAAAAATAGGAAAGGGGAAGGGAGGAAGATGGTACTGGGGTCTGGGAGGGGGGGAAATCAGTAAAATAAAGACACAGCGCTCCAAGAAAAATAAATAAGAGGGCAGCAAGACCTCTGGGTCCATCATCGCTACGGGAATATCCACTTATTCACAGTCTCCACAGAAGCACGGTACTACAGGAACACACGAGGAGCCAAACACCCTGTAGCAAATTAGTGACGCTCCTCCAAGCCCTGCTCGCCCCCCATGAGCCAAAACCGGGGGCTCTGCAAAGGTCCCCCATCCCTGAACTGGGGCTAATTTGCTACAGCTTGCTTGGCTAGCCTCGCTCATGTATTTTTTTTTTTTTTAAACCTTTAAATAATAGATTTTTCAAAAGTGATATTCACAAGCAAGGTTACCACACAGAGAAAAAAAATAAAAAATAAATGCACCAACACGGCCACAGCACAGCAGGTCACGCGCACAGCATCACTTCCTATGCCTATTTACAAGGAGTTTTTCTTATGTACAAGGAGGAAGACAGCGGGAGCATAAATTAGCATCTATTTATACAAATAAACAAGAGTTAGTTAGGAAATATCCATTCATCTGGGGAGGGGAGCCGGGTGCAAAGAGCCCCCAGGAGCTTTTTGGGCAGGTGGGATTGCTGCCAGGCTCAGGAGGGGGACACACAGGGACTCCCAGCCAGGACAAGGTTTTGGGGTCCCATCGCAGCCCCCCAACCCCGGGCAGGGGGCCCATCCCTGCTCCCCGGGGAGGGAATGGGACCAGTGGTGATGGGAGCCGGCAGCGGTGAGGAGACAGAGAAAATGATATTTCTCGGAGAGTGGAGCTCGTGGAGCGATTAAAAGCAGAATGGGGGGAGTTTTCTACCAGCCCAGGCTTAAAAATAAATTAAGGGGC